CCGAACCGAGACAGAACCCAACGGTTCGGATGGTTTTCAGAAACCGTTCCATCCCTACTGGAAACCTCATAAGAGTTTTAGCTCAACGTCTCCAGGAGGCTTTTTCTGGTCAGTGGAAGCTGGAAGTTTGAACTGTTAGAGCTTTGGATTGTGGAAGTTAACCAGGTTTCATGTTGGCACACCTCACTTGGACAACTGGCAGCATTTGAAAGATTATCATACAGACTGTTAAATAGAGTAGAGCAGTGTTTTTCAACCACTGTGCCTCGGCACACTAGTGTGGTGTTAGTGATGGTCAGGTGTGCCATAGAAAATCATCCTATTTCTCCTAATTGGTCTAAAAAAATTTGGGGATAATTTTCTGCAAATAATATGCCATTTTTGAGTGTCTGTGCTGTACTAGTGACTGGTGGCGTAATCATGTAATAATTCCTTATGACTAGATTTTGTATGTAATTTTGTATATTGAAGTGGACATGTTAAGTGAAATATAAAAATATAAAATATGGTAAAAATAAATGTTTGTGTTTATTTGATTCCTATTCAAGACACTTAAGATAAGATAAGAATAAAATAAGAATAACTATAGTGTTACTATAGCAGCTCAGATCAACCTTAATCTGTAATGTCTGCTGTAACCTTGGCTAAGTGTATTGTTGGCATCTTTCTTGTTTTCCTTTTATGGTTTGTTTTGTTTTATATTGTCTGTTTTCAGTGCTTGCATACCCAATTGGTATAATGTGCAACATGGTATACTTTGTATCATTTATTTTGTTAAAACCTAAATAAAGTTCAAGTCATAAAAAAACAGGTTTCATGTCAAATGTCAAATCAGCCGGAAGTCCACCTGTAAAGGCTTGTGATTTATTTATATTTTTAATTGATAGAGAGGAGAAATCTCACCGTTGAAGAAGTCCGAGTGTACCGCTTTCTCATTGGCTGCCAGGTCCATCAGCAGCCCGCTGCTGCCCCCTGCCTGTCAACACAACACATTACAGTCTGAACCTAAACCTGGTTTCCCTTCCCTGGTCCGGATCGTTTCCCAAGTTTCCCAGCTCAAGCTCATCTTATTCAACCGAATAAGGCTCCATCCGTCTTTTGCAGAGCTTTAAGACCGGATCCTTTCAGCTTTTTAAAAGGACCAGGGCTGGGAAACTCTGGATTATGCTACATGTAATAACCCTGATAATAGTTTCACACATGAACTCTCTGGAGAATCAGATCCACACACAGCCAAAACATGCCTGGATACACAAGCATGAGATCTCTCCCTACTGAAAGGCACCAGTATAACACAAAACCTCCTATTCAGACTAATTTATTTTAGCACATCAGGATGGTTGAAGAAGGTCCTGTGCCCTGTGCAACTTTTCTGAGGATAAGCAAACTCCTAATGTGGTCAAATAACACCAGGAGAAGATTGGAAGATTTTAAAAAAATGCTACCAAAGGCAACAATTAATTAAGAAAACCTGAAAATGAAAAACACTAAGTTAAAACAAGAATCCATCCCTCAAAACTGCGGCCATCTTAATAAACAGTTACAAGACAAAGAAGCATATATATAGACACATTTACAGTCTTGTCAACAGTTATCTATCTTAAAAACAATTTTTTAAGGGTTTCAATTGATAAAGGCACGTTAAAATATTTAATTATGCTTACTAAAGACCAGAAAACGTTATAGGAGGAAGAATATAATTAAAATCGTTGGAATTTCCGTTGCTAAGTTAAGAATTTTCTGAATTTGACACAGATGCTAATGCTAACATGAGCTAAAATCCTTCCCACAGAAAACGTCTTTTTTTTTAAATTTCGTATCATGACACCTCAAACTATCCCGTTTACGTCTATAAAGAGACCAAACCGTCTTTAAACCGAGCTAACTGTTCATGTTTTCCTGACATTTCCGTCACAGGCGCCAGCCGGTTAGCAA